CTCACTTTTGGTGGCACTTTTAATGAGGTCCGGCACAGGGCCTTTAGCTGGGGTCCTCCCAAAGGGAAACGCAGTCTGTGCAGGCGATGATACTGGTAAAACAATTACACATAATTCTTTATACAAATCTTTCACATTCACTTTCATAATTTTCAGAGAGAGAGAGAATTTCTCTATTCTAAATAAATGATTTTAATGTGAGAGTAATTGAATTATTTTAACCTGCTCCAGACAGAAGTTTCCCTGTCCTGGGCCCCGCTCTGTACTCAGATAACCTCACATTCCCAAACACCGAGTGGTTCCTGGAGCTCGTCATAGCATCGTAGATTGAGGGCCTTTCCTGAAATTTATAATATCAAATTAATTTTTAAGCAAAAAAAAAAAAAATTAGTTTTTAGTTTCTCAGTCAACCTTGCTTCAGGTTAAACACAGCTGAACATTTTTTTTGATATACTGAAAAAGGAAAAAATCAATTATTTCTTTCAAGTTAAAGAGGGTAATCCAGCTGCCTGTTGCATTGAAATTTGAAATCCTCCCAGGGTCTTTCTGACAGGGGCAGTAACTCTGACTGTTATATGTATTACCTGTCTTATGATTGGTCCTGACAGGGGCAGTAACTCTGACTGCTATATGTATTACCTGTCTATGACAGTGAGTAACTCTGACTGTTATATCTATTACCTGTCTTAAGATTGGTCCTCCCACCTGACAGGGGCAGTAACTCTGACTGTTATATGTATTACCTGTCTTATGATTGGTCCACCTGACAGGGGCAGTAACTCTGTCTGTTATATGTATTACCTGTCTTATGATTGGTCCTCCTGACAGGGGCAGTAACTCTGACTGTTATATGTATTACCTGTCTATAACAGTGAGTAACTCTGACTGTTATATCTATTTCCTGTCTTATGATTGGTCCTCCCACCTGACAGGGGCAGTAACTCTGACTGTTATATGTATTACCTGTCTTATGATTGGTCCACCTGACAGGGGCGGTAACTCTGTCTGTTATATGTATTACCTGTCTTATGATTGGTCCTCCTGACAGGGGCAGTAACTCTGACTGTTATATGTATTACCTGTCTTGTGATTGGTCCTCCCAGGGTCTTCCTGACAGGGGCAGTAACTCTGACTGTTATATGTATTACCTGTCTTATGATTGGTCCTCCCAGGGTCTTCCTGACAGGGGCAGTAACTCTGACAGGGGTCAGTCCTTCACTGTTGATAATGTTTCTCATTGACTGAGGGTCAACCTCAAACTCATCAGCTAAAAAGCATTATATAACATTTCTGAGACATAACACAATGCCTCTATACTGTATATACAGAAAAACTTTATTTGACATTTTTTGAATCATTTGAAATTAAACATTCCTTGAAAATTAAAGGAAATGATTGTTTCTATTTCATAATCATGGGTTGTCTTTCTTACCATTATCACAGAATTACTCCATTTTCAATGACAGGAGTTTTACACATTTGTTAGTGCTCCACTTCAGTGAGCAGTGCAGTGTATTTTTAAAACTCTAGTAAGTGCCAATAGTAAGTGCCAATATTCTCCAACACAAATAAAAACAACCTCTTTGTTTAATTACTTTGACATTTGTTTCCATATATGTTTTAGACTCTGTATCATCTTTACGTTTACAGATTATTAACTGTACATTTAATTGTGAAGACTTTTTTTCTTTTCCAAAATATGGGCAGAATTTACTTAAATCTGCATAGATCTAGTTTTTACTCCTGAATCAGGGGCCCGTTTTACAAAAGGTCTTAAGTCGTAGATTTGGACATACGACCAAACTCACGGCACAAACCTCTACCACATCATTGATTTAGTGCGGGATGACGTGGGAAGACCAACAAGGAAATGTCATGCTTATGAGGAAAGTTACGATTAAGAGTTATGACATGCAGTTATGATGTTTTGTAAAACGGTCCCATGATATGTTGTACTATCAGAAAATTTAAAACTTATGACATTTGTTAAACAGGCCCCAGATCCCTATTCCATTATGTTTCTGGTTCTACTGACAGGAACTCACCCAGTGACTGGGGCTGCTGATCTATCGGTTTTCGGGGGTGATTATGGGGAGGATCTCGACAAGCTTGTGTGGCCCTCTGTACAGGACTGCCTGGGGGTCCTAAAACATTCAAACACTTACATCTACCAGTGTCTAAATATATTTTTAAATCTTTGAAAATTGATTCAATAAAAAATATTAGATATATTTAAAAACTGTACAAAAAATCTATGCTCTTTTACATGTTAAAATGACAAGATTTTATGACTGAATAATCAAAAACATAATTCACCTCAATCAATATATTTTCAAACCTGTTTCTTTTGCTTTCTTCAATTCACTACTTTAAAATTATTTTTCAACAAGAATCACTGCCACATTATGTTTCATGTTTGTGTCAGACTGAAGATTTTATGAGGACAATTTTCAGTAACTTTTCCTAATCTTGTGGTTGTCCCTGCTTTGAATTCTTTGACACAGAGCATTACCTTTGTTCTTAATTTTCCCCCTTTACTTACGACTCTTTGGATGGGTGACCTTTGACACCTTGCTGGCCAACTGCACAGCAGCAAATTTAGAATTCAGATGTCCGGAACTTGTCATCGCATCATAGATTGAAGGTCTCTCCTTTATTTCAAAACAGAAAATTTACATAACATAGTACATATATGGTACATTTTCATTTTAGTTAAATTGGATTTAATCTCAAGTTTGTCTTTTCAAGATCAAAACAGTAGTATGCAGTAAAAAGATTATAAATTTAAAACATTGAAATTATTGGGGTATTTTTTTTTAAAAATAAAATACTGTTAAATAATAAATTTTGAGAAAAATAAGAACTATTAATTAGATTAAAGATATTTAAAACTGAAATTTCTTAATGTAAACATTTTCAGTTCTATTTTAAAATAGAAAACCTGATTTTAACTTGTACAGTGAATCATACAAAAGAGAAATAAACAAATAAAGGCCTAATTTACTTGTCTGATGACCGCCCCTGTGGTGGTCTGTCGCTTGGGAGCTGCAACTCGTGACGGGGTCATTCCTTCACTGCTGATGATACTACGCAAAGCCTGGGGGTCTGGCTCAAATTTCACTTCTGAAAACATTGGATTTTTTAAGTCCCTAAATGCCTTTAGCTTTGCCTTACATTGAAAAGATCACAAAAAATTGATTGGTACTGAATTTTTATCGGAATTTAATTCTTGAGACCAAAGGAACTTACCAGCACTCTCCTTCAGGACCTTGAGGGGGACCTCTGCCCTGGCGCTCCGACTTCTTCGTCTGTTGGCCCTGGAAGTTTGATCTGGGTCCAATGGTAACTCTCCAAGGACCCGTCTACTTCCTATGCTGTTACAACTTTGGCTCCTCTTTCTATAAGATTTAAGGGCATTTATTGCAAAGGGAAAACATTGTACACAGTGGATGTGGCAGTATGGCACATGCTGTCTATTTAATTAAAAAAAAATCATAATCTTTCTGCAGGTTTTCCTAAATGTAGGCTTTGTACCATGTGGAATGGATATTAAAAACCTTCCCAAAACTGACATTGATCAGAAAAGTATCAACACTCATCAAATTTCAAACCATACTATCCATCTTTCTTCAGCAAAAAAAGTTTTGAGGGACTGGCATGATTTTTAAAAGGCAAGCAGAAATTAATGTGGACCCCCCAAACAAGCATAATAAATTAATCCTATGTTGCACAAGCCCATGAAACACCTACACATCTCTTCCAGTGGCTGTTGTTGCTCTTCTTGAAGCAATGCCACGTCCCGGCAGTCCACGCAGAATGGCGTCCAGAGACTTATGGTCCGCCTCAAATTCTTCATCGGAGAATAACTGTTTCTTGGCATATTGGGGCTGGTCAGCCTTGCTGCTTTTGCTCAGCTTAAACTCGGTGGGCTACAATGCAAATAAAACATTTCACATTATTTTCTCTTCAGTTCAGATGATCTTGGGGCACCTTAAAGTTTCCTTTTTAGAATTCTGACTGACATTATACACATTGACTGTGCAGAATTATGGATGTCGAAATGCTGGAAGTTTGACATCTGTACATAAAACAAAATGCCTTAAGATCATTGACTCAAATTAACTAAATTGTGCACAGAAGTCCCCATTCTTTCTCTTTCTGTTTTACCTGCCATCTAAGATATCAATGTTTGAGACACAACAACTTTCTAAGTCAAATCAAAATTTTTCATTCTACATGTATGTTCATTTAAATTAGGGATTATATAATAATGTGTATACACATAGAATATTCCATTCTTTATAAGATACGCCCTTACCACTGTCTGTGGTTTCTTGTTACAAATTTTGCCGACTTCTAGTTGTTTCTGCCACTTCTCGTGGAGTTTGCCAAAGTCTGGCACTGCTTTTGTCTTTTTCTTTTCGCCAGGAAAATACTGGGGAATTTTACTGAAAAAGATTAAAAATAAATCAATCTTCTTAAAATGGTTGAAAGTGACAATACAGCGCATCCCTTCAAAAACAGACTCGTTAAAATATTCCTATAGGATTTGAAATTTTTTTTCATACTCATAAATGTATACACTTTCAGAAAATTACAAATTTCATAAGTAAATAATTCTGATTATTTCATTAAAATTAATAATTATTTATGGTCCATAAATATTTACATCGCAACGTGTTCGAGGTTCCACATTCGATGCTATTCACGCATGCGTGTAGTTTTCATAAACAAAACAGCATGGTAAGAGAGGGAAGCCGGTAGGCCTCCTACATTGACAAAGTCGACCAAAACGAAAAACAAAACCAAAAATAGGGCTTGAAATTAAAAAGCAACTTTGCTGACAAAAATTAAGTTGGGAGATTAAATATAATCATTGAATGAAGAAGAAACGGGATCTCGTCGACATTCACGTGGGGCTCGCGAAGGTTCTACCCTAAAGGTTTGTTGATACATGCTATCATTTCTCGTATCTCCATGGCTTTCAAAGAAAAAAATCAGTGTAAACTCAACGTTAAAATGCACTTATGACATATAAAATTTATTGCCATTTGAAGTGCAAATTGTATTGGAACTACAGAAAGGTATTATGTTTGACATTTTGCCGCGATGACGTATGATTTGGTGGATTTTCCTTTCCTGCACCCCAATACACAAAACGTCAACATTTGTACTTAATCATGTTAAATTTGTCTGAATGCAGACTGATATGTTAAGTATTATAATTTACCGGAGAGTTAAGATATTTTGATTCTCAGAATTGATTTTACTTTATATTTCATTATAAGTGTAAACCCTACATTGTATGCACGTGCCATTTTAAACAGATCCAAGTTGTACGACGTTGATTTTCCCGGCAGATTCTAATTATGTTAATTTTGTATGAGGAGGGAATATTTATTTTTCTAAAATGCTTAATTCAACTTTTTACCTTATTCCTGAATGATATATTGGGTAAATTTGAATGAAAAAGCACACGATTTGCAGCCGTATTGCCGCTTTGAATAATTTCTCAATTTTGTCTCAACCAATAAAAATTCAAAAGGGACATGAGCAAAAAAAAAGAAGCATACAAAGTGAATTTACTAAATAAAAAAGATACACTTGTAAACATTGTGGCTACTGTATGTACAGGGATATTTTCGCCCCATGTTGTTTTGGCCCTTTCACACTTGCCGACAATTAAGCCCCAATTTAAATTCACCCTGTCATATTTTTGTTTAAGTAATTATACTGTATTCTTTGAATTTGCCTCATTTTAAATTCGCCCAAACAAGGGTAGGGCAAAAGGCGCAAAAAAATACAGGGGAGAAAATCTCGAATGCAAATAACAAACCTTGGACCGTAGTTGTTTGTTTTCTTGGCTTGTCGTCCAGATAGGGACTCTGTTCTAACAGAAGTTCTCTTCATCACTGTGGAATCTACGTAAAATATAAAATCATCACAACAAATGTAACTTTATAAGGAAAAAAATATAGAAGTAATGGTTTGTGAACTTAAAAACAAACAAACATTATCATGATTATTATAGTATTTTTAATACTGTTGGTTTTTATGGTTTGTCAAAGACAAATTCTATATATTAACTTAACATGTACTTAAAAAAGCGGGCTTCATTCAACATTTTGTATGCATAATCATTTACCATTCTACACCTGTCACAGAGAAATGTTCCTTGGTCAGTAAGTTCCCCTGAAAGATCAATTAAAATAATTAATTTAGTCAATACAATTTTATGAAATATTTACATTCAGAATGAAACGCAATATGAAAGACTTATAAAATAAGCTGTATTCGTTTTAAAATTTTTATTGGGATGTAAATATGGGTTGGTCATGTGATTAAATCCAATGTAGATTTCTTCAAATAATGGGCTACTCTAGTATCCACCTTGGAGATTTGGGTAAGTCCTCATATACCATCCCAGAGATTAGGGTAAGTGTCGTGTATTTTGATATTAATTAATAAATTCATTTGCATGTGTGTTTTAACTGTTTTTGCAAGATCTTAATTTAGCTTGCCTTCTATGACATCTCTTTGATTTATGTTTAGATAAGGCTAAGTACAAAAGAAACGGTGCACTAAGCATGCGGCACACCCACATCATTGCACCATTATTTTTTTCAATCTTGTTTTCACTGATAAACAATATTAATTACTTTTTTTTCAAATCAACATGATCATAGATGATTGAAAAGTGGGGTTGACCTATTTTCTTTAGAGAAGAGGACAGGCTTTCACCAACATCCACTTCTCTTCACAGGCCGTCTTGATTTGATTCTGGAAAATGTGTAAAATGTAGAAACTGTGATGGCCTACACTTCAACTAATATTTCGTCTGAATTATGTCTGATTATACGTAACAGACGTACATGTTATATCAACAATTTTAACATAGATAAACTCAACTGTCACAAGAAAACCAACCTTTATATATCTTATATCCATATTTACGACTTCTCATTCCTGGGTTCAAACTTATGTTTTTTTACCATAATCAGCAATCCTCGGCTGACACCACTACGCTCCATTCAGTGTGCAAGGCACAAGCCACCCGAGGAGCTTCCGAGTGTCCTTCTAGACTTATATACTCAAAATCAAAAAGTCCAGGACGGAGAACTTGTGAAAATGGATTAACAACACGTAAAGGTTGGTTTTCTTGTGACAGTTGTATGAATTTATGTTGAAATTGTTTATTTAAGGGGATGAAGGACCTTTAGCTGAAAAAATACCTGTCATTTAATTTTTTTCATATTTTGTATATATCTTATTTAGTATGTCCTACATACTATAAAGCAGACATTTCAATAGGTTTCTAGACTTATTTCTGAGATATTGAGTGACAAATACCATACCCCACAGTGTCTGAGCGGAGTTTTTATTCTCCGTGTTTCTGGGTCCATTACTCGGTCGATAATTGAAAATTTTCACCATAGATAAAAAATATACCAGCGGAGATGTGTCTTTTAAAATATTTTAGAGTATGAATAGGGTTAAAAATTCGAAAAAGCAAGATTCTTTTGTAACACCACATCTGGAGACGGAAATTTACGACTTTTTTAGGACAACTTAAACCATAAAAAAATTAATTTGCAAAAAATCCTATCATTTAATATTTGAAAATTTACGTCGAAGTTCAAGGTGGTCATTGTATTGATTAACTGTAAAAATATCGATTGGTGAAGCTGAGCTCAATATTGCACGGGGCAAAGTTAAACGAGTCATGATCATGAGAAAAACGTGTCATGTTTACATTTCTCGAGTACGGGAAAACCCAACTATGACGTCACACATTCCTGAAATAAGACAATCCACAGAACTTTTCCGTCAACAACCATGTAAAAATATTCTTTGCGTTCTGAAATTTACAAAATACCCTACCATGTACATATTATGACCCGTTTTTATGATTTTATACTACCTGTTTTTACCATGTATGATCTTACTGAACTAAGAGATCCACTATGACGTCAAAGACGCACTGGACGCGCAGAGTGGGGAAACGGCAGAGTGGATTAATCTATTCCGTAATTTGATAATATTTGCAAGAAATTTTGAATGTTTTCAGATATTTTTATACTAGATGGTGAACGCAAACAAACAGTCAAAAAAATTATACAAGTACTGTGGTTTCAATCTCGTTTTGTACATATTTTATCAGAGATTATGACGTAAATCAACTGAGTCACGTGACCATACATCCTTCATCCCCTTAACACGTCTGTTACGTAAAATCAGACATATTTCTGACGAAATTTTAGTTGCAAGAGTAGGCTGTCAGCGGTACAGTGTAAGCCATCAAGGTTTTACATTTTTCACGTTCTCAAGAATCAACCTGACAGCCTGCGAAGAGATTTGGATGTAAGCAAAAGCCTATCCATTTCTCTAAAGAGGATAGGGTTGACCATTCAAAAAATTAAAAATTTCAATAAGGAAACACTGTCTTTAACTTAGTCTTAAATTTATAAAGTAACATAATTTTGCAGTAAAATACAGCCAGAGTGCAGGATTTTGGTGTCTTTAAATTCAAATTTATGAGATTGAGAATACCATTCTCAGAATATGTCAGTGCAATAATGCCAGCATGATTGTCATAAGGCAGTGCTGTCAGTCTGTTCGCAGCTTCAAATTATCCTTTACCATGTCTACAGAGTGATCTTCATGCGTGAGATGAATTCATTTCAATATTTGCTACATAAATTCCAACAAAAATAAGTTTTTAATTTCATTACGGGACAGAATACTCACATAAAATTGTGTTGTTTTTCCCCTTCAGCATCAACTTGATCAAGTTGAATTTCCCATACGCTTGCCTTGTTGTTTCATTTCGACCAATAAGATTCCTCGTTTCATTCGTCTAAATTTGGAAGGTCTCGGTATGATCTCGGGGGAATTCCCGAGATTTTGTAAATTACAAACAACATGGCGACAACTCGGTGGGCTCTCCTCGAATCAGTTGTAATAGTAACATTTTTCATAAGTTCACAAGTGGAATTATCTTTTTCTGAAGGTGAGTTTATTGATTTAAATCTATTCCATTGCTTAGTAATTTTTTTAAAACCGAAATTTTGCTCGACCGGCGAATCCCACTTTTTACCTGGCGATTTTACCTGAAATTTATGTAATGATTAGGTATGCATGCTTATTGATGCGGAAATGATGCTGTTCTGTCACAACTGTTGACCACTAATGAGCAAAAGTAATTAATATTCATTCTCCGTAACTTATGAATTAGTTTTTACTGGTTTTTGAAGTTATTCTGCGATCTTGTAGCTAGAATTTGCTCGGTGATAAATAGTAGAAATATAGTGAAAGTTAAAAGTTACTCTCTCTCTCTCTCTCCCTCTCTCTCTCTCAATGTGATTCACCATAATTTTTTATCTTTTATTCTGGCCAGGTATTGAAAATAAAATTATTCCAAAAATTGAATTTTTATCGATATTATTGTATAGCTGTTGTATTTATAATTCTATGTCATTTGTAAAAGACCACACTGTCAATCATGCATGTGAGAAGATTACAATCTTTTGCTAATGCATTACTGTTGCATGAATGAGATTTTTACATAAGAGATAATCAATTAAAAAAAATCATTATATGTTATCTGCAAATTTAGAAAATGTCCTCTTCTCTGAATTGAATTACTATTTAAAATTCTCAATATTTCTGTTCATACACTATTAACATAAAATTCACTTGACATTATTTTCATTGCCAGTTTATAAGGAGAACTATAAAATCAATATCATTCTCTGACCAGTGTACGTATTGCAAAACCCCATCTACTTTGTTAACAGGGCAATATATTTATCAGATCCCAGTGGAGAAGAGTAAATTGGAAACAAAGTTCGTGTAACTTGAAAATACAGTTTGATCTATAGACAGAGAAATATTTATGGTTAGGAAGGAATGGGGAGGGGGGGGGGGTTGAGGATTAAATCACATACATAGTTCTCTTCTTCAAAATTTTCTTCCTGTTTTAGAATTTCTTGTGTAATATGGAATTTCAAAGACATTCAGTGCTAAAATACAGATCAAATCAATACTTGACTGGCAATACCCAGTGTGTAATGTAAATATTTATTTCAAAGGACTAAGGAAGTCATTTTAGGAAATTCATTGTCGTAATTCAGTTTATTCACGGTCTGCTGAGCTTGTGCTTTACAGGTAAAACTTGGCACGGACAGAGTTTACACAAGATTAAAATTTGATATTAACCCTTCAGTCTGCAATGTTGGAGTTTTAAATTCTTCTTTTCAATTAATAAATAATTATAAGCAGTAAAATATGAAATACAGAAAGATGACGCTTGTAACCAAAACACAATTCTATTGAATTATTTCATTTTAACTGACCAGTGAAATACACCCTTATATAGGCACCAAAGTAAATATTGAAACACTTTTGTTTCATTTATGTATACCTGGTATATGTTTTGTTCAGCATGTTCAGTGGTTAGCTGATACCTTACATGCTTATAAAATACCTTTAGACAGAAATACATATATTTTGGTACTAGCATTTATGGTGTATTAATTAAAGAATAAAATCCATTTAATCATTTTTCAATTAGAGCATGTTAGGTGTCTTATAAACAAAATAGGATATCCTGTATTGGACAGTTGAAGTGGATCCCTCATTCTGTTAGAGAGCGTGTCATTGAGTTAAGGAAACTGAGTCAGTTGGTTGTACATGTACACTAATAATAAGTCAGCTCTCTGTCAACTGCTCTGGATAGCCCACACTTGTATTTTACCAAGTTCAATATAAACCGTCCCATTTTTGTCACAAAAATAAAAAAAATGGTATTCAAAAAGATGACAAAAATTTGATCATATTGATTGAAGATTTCAGTTTTCAAACAAATCAAATTTTATAGAAAACAAATCTAATTTTTTAAGATACTGCACATGAAACAATGGGGCATTGCATTAGTAAACTTTAATGTACTTGCTTTGAAAATATATTATTTGTCCTACATTGATTTAAAACATTTGCATGAGTTTATTTCTGAAAAAGAAATTAATGCAGGCGTTATAGGTGTATAATTACAACTAGCTTATACCACAGTACATTGCCCTTCATTGTGTAATCGTGATATTCAGGATACTCGGAGAAAATAGGGCTATGACTCAAATAAATGTTCTTAAAATTCAATCCTGGGGACATTTAGTATTGAGAAAATCAATTATTATGA